GGGATGTCTTGTTATTTAGAGGGATGTCTTGTTATTTGGAGGGATGCTTGTTATTAAGAGGGATGTCTTATAATTTAGAGGGATGTCTTGTTATTTGGAGGTATGTCTTGTTATTTAGAGGGATGTCTTGTTATTTAGAGGGATGTCTTGGTATTTGGAGGGATGTCTAGTTATTTAGAGGGATGTCTTTTTATTTAGAGGGATGTCTTGTTATTTAGAGGGATGTCTTGGTATTTGGAGGGATGTCTAGTTATTTAGAGGGATGTCTTTTTATTTAGAGGGATGTCTTGTTATTTAGAGGGATGTCTTGTTATTTAGAGGGATGTCTTGTTATTTGAAGGGATGTCTTAATATTTAGAGGGATGTCTTGCTATTTTGAGGGATTTCTTGTTATTTGGAGGGATGTCTTGTTATTTAGAGGGATGTCTTGTTATTTAGAGGAATGTCTTGTTATTTAAAAGGGATGTCTTGTTATTTAGAGGGATGTCTTGTTATTTAGTGGGATGTCTTGTTATTTAGAGGGATGTCTTAATATTTAGAGGGATGTCTTGTTATTTAGAGGGATGTCTTAATATTTAGAGGGATGTCTTGTTATTTGGAGGGATGTCTTAATATTTAGAGAGATGTCTTGTTATTTAAAGGGATGTCTTAATATTTAGAGGGATGCCTTGTTATTTAGAGGGATGTCTTAATATTTAGAGGGATGTCTTGTTATTTGAAGGGATGTCTTAATATTTAGAGGGATGTCTTGTTATTTGAAGGGATGTCTTAATATTTAGAGGGATGTCTTGTTATTTAGAGGGATGTCTTGTTATTTAGAGGGATGTCTTGTTATTTAGAGGGATGTCTTGTTTTTTAAAGGGTTGTCTTGTTATTTGGAGGGATGTCTTAATATTTAGAGGGATGTCTTGGTATTTAGAGGGATGTCTTGTTATTTAGAGGGATGTCTTAATATTTAGCGGAATGTCTTAAGGGATGTCTTGTTTTTTAGAGGGTTGTCTTGATATTTAGAGGGATGTCTTGTTTTTTAGAGAGATGTCTTGTTATTTAGAGGGTTTTTTTGTTTTTTAGAGGGTTGTCTTGTTATTTGGAGGGATGTCTTGTTATTTAGATTGATGTCTTAATATTTAGAGGGATGTCTTTTTATTTGGAGGGATGTCTTGTTATTTAGAGGGATGTCTTGTTATTTAGAGGAATGTCTTGTTATTTAAAAGGGATGTCTTGTTATTTAGAGGGATGTCTTGTTATTTAGAGGGATGTCTTGTTATTTAGAGGGATGTCTTGTTATTTAGAGGGATGTCTTGTTATTTAGAGGGATGTCTTGTTATTTGAAGGGATGTCTTAATATTTAGAGAGATGTCTTGTTATTTAGAGGGATGTCTTGTTATTTAGAGGGATGTCTTGTTATTTAGAGGGATGTCTTCATATTTGGAGGGATGTCTTCATATTTGGAGGGATGTCTTGTTATTTAGAGGGATTTCTTGTTATTTAGAGGGATGTCTTCATATTTGGAGGGATGTCTTCATATTTGGAGGGATGTCTTGTTATTTAGAGGGATGTCTTGTTATTTGGAGGGATGCTTGTTATTAAGAGGGATGTCTTATAATTTAGAGGGATGTCTTTTTATTTAGAGGGATGTCTTGTTATTTAGAGGGATGTCTTGGTATTTGGAGGGATGTCTAGTTATTTAGAGGGATGTCTTTTTATTTAGAGGGATGTCTTGTTATTTAGAGGGATGTCTTGTTATTTAGAGGGATGTCTTGTTATTTGAAGGGATGTCTTAATATTTAGAGGGATGTCTTGCTATTTTGAGGGATTTCTTGTTATTTGGAGGGATGTCTTGTTATTTAGAGGGATGTCTTGTTATTTAGAGGAATGTCTTGTTATTTAAAAGGGATGTCTTGTTATTTAGAGGGATGTCTTGTTATTTAGTGGGATGTCTTGTTATTTAGAGGGATGTCTTGTTATTTAGAGAGATGTCTTGTTATTTAAAGGGATGTCTTAATATTTAGAGGGATGTCTTGTTATTTAGAGGGATGTCTTAATATTTAGAGGGATGTCTTGTTATTTGGAGGGATGTCTTAATATTTAGAGGGATGTCTTGTTATTTAGAGGGATGTCTTGTTATTTAGAGAGATGTCTTGTTATTTAAAGGGATGTCTTAATATTTAGAGGGATGTCTTGTTATTTAGAGGGATGTCTTAATATTTAGAGGGATGTCTTGTTATTTGAAGGGATGTCTTAATATTTAGAGGGATGTCTTGTTATTTAGAGGGATGTCTTGTTATTTAGAGGGATGTCTTGTTTTTTAAAGGGTTGTCTTGTTATTTGGAGGGATGTCTTAATATTTAGAGGGATGTCTTGGTATTTAGAGGGATGTCTTGTTATTTAAAGGGATGTCTTGTTATTTAGAGGGATGTCTTCTTATTTGGAGGGAAGTCTTGTTATTTGGAGGAATGTCTTGTTATTTAGAGGGATGTCTTGTTATTTAGAGGAATGTCTTGTTATTTAAAAGGGATGTCTTGTTATTTAGAGGGATGTCTTGTTATTTAGTGGGATGTCTTTTTATTTAGAGGGATGTCTTGTTATTTAGAGAGATGTCTTGTTATTTAAAGGGATGTCTTAATATTTAGAGGGATGTCTTGTTATTTAGAGGGATGTCTTGTTATTTAGAGGGATGTCTTAATATTTGGAGGGATGTCTTGTTATTTAGAGGGATGTCTTAATATTTAGAGGGATGTCTTGTTTTTTAGTGGGATGTCTTGTTATTTAGAGGGATGTCTTGTTATTTAGAGGGTTTTTTTGTTTTTTAGAGGGTTGTCTTGTTATTTGGAGGGATGTCTTGTTATTTAGATTGATGTCTTAATATTTAGAGGGATGTCTTGTTTTTTAGAGGGATGTCTTGTTATTTAGAGGGATGTCTTGTTATTTAGAGGGATGTCTTGTTATTTAGAGGGATGTCTTGTTATTTAGAGGGATGTCTTGTTATTTGAAGGGATGTCTTAATATTTAGAGAGATGTCTTGTTATTTAGAGGGATGTCTTGTTATTTAGAGGGATGTCTTCATATTTGGAGGGATGTCTTCATATTTGGAGGGATGTCTTGTTATTTAGAGGGATGTCTTGTTATTTGGAGGGATGCTTGTTATTAAGAGGGATGTCTTATAATTTAGAGGGATGTCTTGTTATTTGGAGGTATGTCTTGTTATTTAGAGGGATGTCTTGTTATTTAGAGGGATGTCTTGGTATTTGGAGGGATGTCTAGTTATTTAGAGGGATGTCTTTTTATTTAGAGGGATGTCTTGTTATTTAGAGGGATGTCTTGGTATTTGGAGGGATGTCTAGTTATTTAGAGGGATGTCTTTTTATTTAGAGGGATGTCTTGTTATTTAGAGGGATGTCTTGTTATTTAGAGGGATGTCTTGTTATTTGAAGGGATGTCTTAATATTTAGAGGGATGTCTTGCTATTTTGAGGGATTTCTTGTTATTTGGAGGGATGTCTTGTTATTTAGAGGGATGTCTTGTTATTTAGAGGAATGTCTTGTTATTTAAAAGGGATGTCTTGTTATTTAGAGGGATGTCTTGTTATTTAGTGGGATGTCTTGTTATTTAGAGGGATGTCTTAATATTTAGAGGGATGTCTTGTTATTTAGAGGGATGTCTTAATATTTAGAGGGATGTCTTGTTATTTGGAGGGATGTCTTAATATTTAGAGGGATGTCTTGTTATTTAGAGGGATGTCTTGTTATTTAGAGAGATGTCTTGTTATTTAAAGGGATGTCTTAATATTTAGAGGGATGCCTTGTTATTTAGAGGGATGTCTTAATATTTAGAGGGATGTCTTGTTATTTGAAGGGATGTCTTAATATTTAGAGGGATGTCTTGTTATTTAGAGGGATGTCTTGTTATTTAGAGGGATGTCTTGTTATTTAGTGGGATGTCTTGTTATTTAGAGGGATGTCTTGTTATTTAGAGAGATGTCTTGTTATTTAAAGGGATGTCTTAATATTTAGAGGGATGTCTTAATATTTAGCGGAATGTCTTGTTTATTAGAGGGATGTCTTGCTATTTAGAGGGATGTCTTTTTATTTGGAGGGATGTCTTGTTATTTAGAGGGATGTCTTGTTATTTAGAGGAATGTCTTGTTATTTAAAAGGGATGTCTTGTTATTTAGAGGGATGTCTTGTTATTTAGTGGGATGTCTTGTTATTTAGAGGGATGTCTTGTTATTTAGAGAGATGTCTTGTTATTTAAAGGGATGTCTTAATATTTAGAGGGATGTCTTGTTATTTAGAGGGATGTCTTAATATTTAGAGGGATGTCTTGTTATTTGAAGGGATGTCTTAATATTTAGAGGGATGTCTTGTTATTTAGAGGGATGTCTTGTTATTTAGAGGGATGTCTTGTTATTTAGAGGGATGTCTTGTTTTTTAAAGGGTTGTCTTGTTATTTGGAGGGATGTCTTAATATTTAGAGGGATGTCTTGGTATTTAGAGGGATGTCTTGTTATTTAGAGGGATGTCTTAATATTTAGCGGAATGTCTTAAGGGATGTCTTGTTTTTTAGAGGGTTGTCTTGTAATTTAGATGGGATGTCTTGTTATTTAGAGGGATGTCTTGTTATTTACAGGTATGTCTTGTTATTTAGAGGGATGTCTTAATATTTAGAGGAATGTCTTGTTATATAGATGGATGTCTTGTTATTTAGAGGGATGTCTTGATATTTAGAGGGATGTCTTGTTTTTTAGAGAGATGTCTTGTTATTTAGAGGGTTTTTTTGTTTTTTAGAGGGTTGTCTTGTTATTTGGAGGTGTTGTATTAAGTCTGTTCTTTTATCATGTGTTTAAATATGTTTGTTGTCAGATGTTTTTGTAAACATTAGTTTAGTTTGAAAATAGAGTTTGTTCAAGCAAGATGTGTGAATAATATTCTTGTATAAGAAATAGAACATGGTGGCAGCTTAGTGGATTTTTTATCGAACAAAGTCTAAAACCACGCATGATGTCAAGTAAGGGCAGAAAAAAACGAAATACTCGTAGGCAAAGGTATGAGGACAATGAGGAGGATGCCCAAAGTGAATTCAACTACATGTCAGAAAGGGATTCTAGAAAGACTGAAGGTGAGTCACTAGGTTTTGCATTGGGACAGACAAACCGAGAAAATAATGCAGTAATGTGTACTCCTACTCCTATGATAAATCTGACGTTACCAACTCCAGATACCTTCTCTTTTACTCCGAATGAGTGGCATTCCTGGAGGAATCGCTTTCAAAGGTACAGACGGGGGTGCGGTCTAGATAGCACTTCCGACGCTCGGCAAATCGATGTACTTTTGTTTACAATGGGTAGTAGGAGTGAAGATATTTTCGATTCGTTTTCACCAAAACCGAATACTTATGACGAGGCTCTTCGGGCCTTTGATGCATACTTTGTGCCAAGACGAAATATCATTTATGAGAGAACAAAATTTCTGAGACACAAGCAAGGGAGTGATCCATCTGAAAAATTCATAACAGATTTGCATGGTCTTGCAAAAACGTGTGCATGGGGTGAACTGAACGATGAGATGGTGCTTCTGGTCCTCATTATTGGTATGAAAGATGAGGCTCTAAGTGATAGACTCCAGCTGGACTCTCAATTGACTCTGGAGAAGGCGATTAATACCTTGCGCCAACACGAGGAGCTAGAACGCCAAAAACGTGAGCTCGCCAATACTAATGTTTTTATGGTGAATCAAACGTCAATACAAGTCGGTAAAACAAATCTGTCTGAAAGAGCTGGTGAACAGAAATTCACCGAGGATGCTATGAGAAAAAAGTGCAGGAAATGTGGTTATAACTGGCACGGATCACTGGCCGAATGCCCTGCTAGGAAAGCCAAATGTGACAAATGTTCCGAGATTGGACATTTTTTTCGATGTTGTCCCTCCCGCGAAAAGTGGATGAGAAAAAACAAAAACGTTGTTAAGGAAATCGAACAGCAAGATTCAGACAGTGGTTATCAACAGGTTCCTGAGATTTTCATAGGGAATATAGACAGCAGTGACAAAGCCTGGGTCCAGGAGGTAAAAGCAAGCTGTGGAAACCAAGATTTAGGTCTTATAAAATTTAAACTTGACACAGCAGCTGATGTAACCATGATTCCAGTAGGAGTTCTTGGTGATTTTATTAAGACTCTGCCTCTAGGAAAGTGCAAATCCCCTGTGTTTAGCGCAAAGAAGAAAGAACGAATCAATATTTTGGGAACTTTAAGGCTAAAGCTTGAACATAAGGGTGTATCAGTTTATAATCTTGCGTATATTTCTGAGGAGATCACTGTTCCACTTCTTAGCAGACGTTCCTGTGAAGAGCTGAACCTGGTGAGGAGAATCTTTTCTGTAGATTCACATGATATTGACTGGGCTACTAAGTATCCTAATTTATTTCAAGGGCTGGGAAATATGAAAGGAGAGTACAAGATTGAAATGAAGGAGAATGCAGTTCCTTACGCTATATCCACCCCCAGGGTTGTACCAATACCTTTAAAAACGAAGGTGAAAGAGCAGTTAGACGATATGCTTGAGAAAGGAGTGATTGTTCCAGTTGAACACGCGACTGATTGGTGCGCACCAATGGTAGTTTGCGCAAAAAAGGGAGGTGGGGTTAGGATCTGCGTAGACCTATCCAAACTCAACAACAGTGTGAAACGTCGGTTTTATCCTATCCCAAAGATCGAACTTTCATTGGCCGAGATCGCGGGAGCCAAGTACTTCAGCAAGATCGATGCGAATTCCGGGTTCTGGCAACTGAACCTTGCAGAGGAGTCACAAGATTACACAACATTTATCACCCCTTTTGGGAGGTATAAATTCCGTAAGTTACCTTTTGGAATTACGTCCGCTCCTGAAGAGTTTCAGCGCCGCATGTCAAAAGCTTTAGAAGGGGCAAAGAACTGTTTAGTGCACATTGATGACTGTCTGATATGGGGAAGAACGAAAGAAGAACACGACGAGTGTCTTAGGGCCGTTCTAGAGAGAGTGCAAGCTAATGGAATCACCTTGAATAAGCAGAAGTCGGAGTTCTGCAAGAAGACTGTGACATTTCTGGGGTTTGTGCTGTCTAAGGACGGAATCAAGCCTGATCCAAGCAAGGTACAAGCGATTGTGGACTTACCAGCTCCAAGAAACGCTAATGAAGTACAAAGATTCATGGGCATGATCACTTTTCTGGCAAAATTTATTCCGAACCGCAGTGAGATTTTGGAGCCAATTACGAGCTTGTTAAAGACTAAAAACGATTTCCTTTGGGGACCAGCTCAAGAAAACGCTTTTGTCACAGTAAAACAGATTTTATCATCAGAGCCATGTTTGACTGTTTACGATCCGCAAAAACCCTCGATTCTTTCTTGCGATGCTTCAAAAAAAGGTCTTGGAGCGGTGTTACTTCAAGTTGAAGGAGAAAACAAGAAACCTGTGGCATATATATCTCGGACTCTAACGCCTGCTGAAGAAAACTATAGTAACATTGAGAGAGAAGCGCTTGCGTGCACATGGGCAAGTGACCGTTTGAAATGTTTCCTGATGGGTAAAATGTACACAATTGAGACCGACCACAAACCACTTGTCTCAATTTTCAAAACACAAAATTTGGACGAGCTCTCACCGAGGCTACAGCGGTTCCGAATGCGTATGATGAGATACGATTATCGCATGACCTGGACCCCAGGAAAAGACCTTGCCATAGCAGATCTACTATCAAGAAGTCCTATTCCGGCTGACGAAGATGGCGAATTGACCGAAGAAGTGGAAGCCTTCGTCCACGAAATCAGTCTGATTAGTATAAACACTACAGATGAAAATGTGACAAAGGTACTTCACTCACAAATGAGAGATCCAATCTGTGCACAACTTAAGTTACAAATTTTAGACGAATGGCCTGTAAAATCAAGTTTACCTAATGAGATTCAAGAGTACTTTAATGTGAAAGACGAGTTAAGTTGTATTGATGGGCTATTGCTTCGAGGAACTCGGATGATAATACCTCAAGAACTACGAGCGGAAATGCTCGAGAGGCTTCACAGTGGACACTTGGGAATCACAAAAACAAGGAAACGTGCTTTGGGAACCATGTGGTGGCCTGGAATTTCTCAAGAAATAGAAAGGAAAATCAAATCGTGTCCAGTGTGTATTCAGAACTCAACTAATCACAGTGAACCATTGATTCCGAGAACTGTCCCGGATTACCCGTGGCAAAATGTGTCTGTTGACTTGTTCAAACACGAAGACAAGTGGTATATGGTTATCGTGGATCACTACTCAAGATACTTTGAAGTCGAGGAAATGCATCGAATGAGGGCTTCAGATGTGATTCGGGTTTGCAAAACCACATTTTCACGTTTTGGAATTCCTCATTGTGTTTATTCAGATAGTGGGACACAATTTCACCATATTGGCTCAAGTGAATTTAAATTGTTTGCAAAGGAGTGGGGGTTCTCCACATTCAGAAGTAGTCCCCACCACCATCAGGGAAATGGGGCAGCTGAAGCAGCTGTGAAAGTAGCAAAAGGGCTAATGAAGAAAAACAAGGATAAATTTGAACTTGCCCTACTTTCTTACCGGACCTCACCTCTTGAAACCGGCTTTTCCCCATCTGAACTTATGTTTGGAAGGAAATTAAGAGACAATCTTCCATCTACTTTGGTTGGAAATCCTGTGGAAAATAAGAATTTTCTTGAGAGGGAGAATAAGTACCAGAATAAGTACAAGATACAATTTGATAAACGACATGGAGCGAGTGGTTTAAGTGAATTAGAAGTTGGAAGCATGGTATGGATCACAGATCTACGTCGACACGGTAAGGTAGTCAGGAAATTGAACGAACCACGTTCCTACCTTGTGGAAACTGACAAGAGAACTATTCGCCGAAACAGGAAGTTCTTAGTTCCTGCACCGTACTACGGAGGAGATGGAATTCTTTCAAACTGTTCATCCATGGTCCTTAATCGTCCATGCAACTCACGTGATCGTCCAGGAGCTGGCACAGTAACCCGTTACGGAAGGTCCATTAAGAAACCGAGGCGGTACTGAGGTTCATAAAGATGTGGACATCTTGAAGCGGGATGTTGTATTAAGTCTGTTCTTTTATCATGTGTTTAAATATGTTTGTTGTCAGATGTTTTTGTAAACATTAGTTTAGTTTGAAAATAGAGTTTGTTCAAGCAAGATGTGTGAATAATATTCTTGTATAAGAAATAGAACAGGAGGGATGTCTTGTTATTTAGATTGATGTCTTAATATTTAGAGGGATGTCTTTTTATTTGGAGGGATGTCTTGTTATTTAGAGGGATGTCTTGTTATTTAGAGGAATGTCTTGTTATTTAAAAGGGATGTCTTGTTATTTAGAGGGATGTCTTGTTATTTAGAGGGATGTCTTGTTATTTAGAGGGATGTCTTGTTATTTAGAGGGATGTCTTGTTATTTAGAGGGATGTCTTGTTATTTGAAGGGATGTCTTAATATTTAGAGAGATGTCTTGTTATTTAGAGGGATGTCTTGTTATTTAGAGGGATGTCTTGTTATTTAGAGGGATGTCTTCATATTTGGAGGGATGTCTTCATATTTGGAGGGATGTCTTGTTATTTAGAGGGATGTCTTGTTATTTAGAGGGATGTCTTCATATTTGGAGGGATGTCTTCATATTTGGAGGGATGTCTTGTTATTTAGAGGGATGTCTTGTTATTTGGAGGGATGCTTGTTATTAAGAGGGATGTCTTATAATTTAGAGGGATGTCTTTTTATTTAGAGGGATGTCTTGTTATTTAGAGGGATGTCTTGGTATTTGGAGGGATGTCTAGTTATTTAGAGGGATGTCTTTTTATTTAGAGGGATGTCTTGTTATTTAGAGGGATGTCTTGTTATTTAGAGGGATGTCTTGTTATTTGAAGGGATGTCTTAATATTTAGAGGGATGTCTTGCTATTTTGAGGGATTTCTTGTTATTTGGAGGGATGTCTTGTTATTTAGAGGGATGTCTTGTTATTTAGAGGAATGTCTTGTTATTTAAAAGGGATGTCTTGTTATTTAGAGGGATGTCTTGTTATTTAGTGGGATGTCTTGTTATTTAGAGGGATGTCTTGTTATTTAGAGAGATGTCTTGTTATTTAAAGGGATGTCTTAATATTTAGAGGGATGTCTTGTTATTTAGAGGGATGTCTTAATATTTAGAGGGATGTCTTGTTATTTGGAGGGATGTCTTAATATTTAGAGGGATGTCTTGTTATTTAGAGGGATGTCTTGTTATTTAGAGAGATGTCTTGTTATTTAAAGGGATGTCTTAATATTTAGAGGGATGTCTTGTTATTTAGAGGGATGTCTTAATATTTAGAGGGATGTCTTGTTATTTGAAGGGATGTCTTAATATTTAGAGGGATGTCTTGTTATTTAGAGGGATGTCTTGTTATTTAGAGGGATGTCTTGTTTTTTAAAGGGTTGTCTTGTTATTTGGAGGGATGTCTTAATATTTAGAGGGATGTCTTGGTATTTAGAGGGATGTCTTGTTATTTAAAGGGATGTCTTGTTATTTAGAGGGATGTCTTCTTATTTGGAGGGAAGTCTTGTTATTTGGAGGAATGTCTTGTTATTTAGAGGGATGTCTTGTTATTTAGAGGAATGTCTTGTTATTTAAAAGGGATGTCTTGTTATTTAGAGGGATGTCTTGTTATTTAGTGGGATGTCTTTTTATTTAGAGGGATGTCTTGTTATTTAGAGAGATGTCTTGTTATTTAAAGGGATGTCTTAATATTTAGAGGGATGTCTTGTTATTTAGAGGGATGTCTTAATATTTAGAGGGATGTCTTGTTATTTGGAGGGATGTCTTAATATTTAGAGGGATGTCTTGTTATTTAGAGGGATGTCTTGTTATTTAGAGAGATGTCTTGTTATTTAAAGGGATGTCTTAATATTTAGAGGGATGTCTTGTTATTTAGAGGGATGTCTTAATATTTAGAGGGATGTCTTGTTATTTGAAGGGATGTCTTAATATTTAGAGGGATGTCTTGTTATTTAGAGGGATGTCTTGTTATTTAGAGGGATGTCTTGTTATTTAGTGGGATGTCTTGTTATTTAGAGGGATGTCTTGTTATTTAGAGAGATGTCTTGTTATTTAAAGGGATGTCTTAATATTTAGAGGGATGTCTTAATATTTAGCGGAATGTCTTGTTTATTAGAGGGATGTCTTGCTATTTAGAGGGATGTCTTTTTATTTGGAGGGATGTCTTGTTATTTAGAGGGATGTCTTGTTATTTAGAGGAATGTCTTGTTATTTAAAAAGGATGTCTTGTTATTTAGAGGGATGTCTTGTTATTTAGTGGGATGTCTTGTTATTTAGAGGGATGTCTTGTTATTTAGAGAGATGTCTTGTTATTTAAAGGGATGTCTTAATATTTAGAGGGATGTCTTGTTATTTAGAGGGATGTCTTAATATTTAGAGGGATGTCTTGTTATTTGAAGGGATGTCTTAATATTTAGAGGGATGTCTTGTTATTTAGAGGGATGTCTTGTTATTTAGAGGGATGTCTTGTTATTTAGAGGGATGTCTTGTTTTTTAAAGGGTTGTCTTGTTATTTGGAGGGATGTCTTAATATTTAGAGGGATGTCTTGGTATTTAGAGGGATGTCTTGTTATTTAGAGGGATGTCTTAATATTTAGCGGAATGTCTTAAGGGATGTCTTGTTTTTTAGAGGGTTGTCTTGTAATTTAGATGGGATGTCTTGTTATTTAGAGGGATGTCTTGTTATTTACAGGTATGTCTTGTTATTTAGAGGGATGTCTTAATATTTAGAGGAATGTCTTGTTATATAGATGGATGTCTTGTTATTTAGAGGGATGTCTTGATGTTTAGAGGGATGTCTTGTTTTTTAGAGAGATGTCTTGTTATTTAGAGGGTTTTTTTGTTTTTTAGAGGGTTGTCTTGTTATTTGGAGGGATGTCTTGTTATTTAGATTGATGTCTTAATATTTAGAGGGATGTCTTTTTATTTGGAGGGATGTCTTGTTATTTAGAGGGATGTCTTGTTATTTAGAGGAATGTCTTGTTATTTAAAAGGGATGTCTTGTTATTTAGAGGGATGTCTTGTTATTTAGAGGGATGTCTTGTTATTTAGAGGGATGTCTTGTTATTTAGAGGGATGTCTTGTTATTTAGAGGGATGTCTTGTTATTTGAAGGGATGTCTTAATATTTAGAGAGATGTCTTGTTATTTAGAGGGATGTCTTGTTATTTAGAGGGATGTCTTGTTATTTAGAGGGATGTCTTCATATTTGGAGGGATGTCTTCATATTTGGAGGGATGTCTTGTTATTTAGAGGGATGTCTTGTTATTTAGAGGGATGTCTTCATATTTGGAGGGATGTCTTCATATTTGGAGGGATGTCTTGTTATTTAGAGGGATGTCTTGTTATTTGGAGGGATGCTTGTTATTAAGAGGGATGTCTTATAATTTAGAGGGATGTCTTTTTATTTAGAGGGATGTCTTGTTATTTAAAAGGGATGTCTTGTTATTTAGAGGGATGTCTTGTTATTTAGAGGGATGTCTTGTTATTTAGAGGGATGTCTTGTTATTTAGAGGGATGTCTTGTTATTTAGAGGGATGTCTTGTTATTTGAAGGGATGTCTTAATATTTAGAGAGATGTCTTGTTATTTAGAGGGATGTCTTGTTATTTAGAGGGATGTCTTGTTATTTAGAGGGATGTCTTGTTATTTGAAGGGATGTCTTAATATTTAGAGGGATGTCTTGCTATTTTGAGGGATTTCTTGTTATTTGGAGGGATGTCTTGTTATTTAGAGGGATGTCTTGTTATTTAGAGGAATGTCTTGTTATTTAAAAGGGATGTCTTGTTATTTAGAGGGATGTCTTGTTATTTAGTGGGATGTCTTGTTATTTAGAGGGATGTCTTGTTATTTAGAGAGATGTCTTGTTATTTAAAGGGATGTCTTAATATTTAGAGGGATGTCTTGTTATTTAGAGGGATGTCTTAATATTTAGAGGGATGTCTTGTTATTTGGAGGGATGTCTTAATATTTAGAGGGATGTCTTGTTATTTAGAGGGATGTCTTGTTATTTAGAGAGATGTCTTGTTATTTAAAGGGATGTCTTAATATTTAGAGGGATGTCTTGTTATTTAGAGGGATGTCTTAATATTTAGAGGGATGTCTTGTTATTTGAAGGGATGTCTTAATATTTAGAGGGATGTCTTGTTATTTAGAGGGATGTCTTGTTATTTAGAGGGATGTCTTGTTATTTAGTGGGATGTCTTGTTATTTAGAGGGATGTCTTGTTATTTAGAGAGATGTCTTGTTATTTAAAGGGATGTCTTAATATTTAGAGGGATGTCTTAATATTTAGCGGAATGTCTTGTTTATTAGAGGGATGTCTTGCTATTTAGAGGGATGTCTTTTTATTTGGAGGGATGTCTTGTTATTTAGAGGGATGTCTTGTTATTTAGAGGAATGTCTTGTTATTTAAAAGGGATGTCTTGTTATTTAGAGGGATGTCTTGTTATTTAGTGGGATGTCTTGTTATTTAGAGGGATGTCTTGTTATTTAGAGAGATGTCTTGTTATTTAAAGGGATGTCTTAATATTTAGAGGGATGTCTTGTTATTTAGAGGGATGTCTTAATATTTAGAGGGATGTCTTGTTATTTGAAGGGATGTCTTAATATTTAGAGGGATGTCTTGTTATTTAGAGGGATGTCTTGTTATTTAGAGGGATGTCTTGTTATTTAGAGGGATGTCTTGTTTTTTAAAGGGTTGTCTTGTTATTTGGAGGGATGTCTTAATATTTAGAGGGATGTCTTGGTATTTAGAGGGATGTCTTGTTATTTAGAGGGATGTCTTAATATTTAGCGGAATGTCTTAAGGGATGTCTTGTTTTTTAAAGGGTTGTCTTGTAATTTAGATGGGATGTCTTGTTATTTAGAGGGATGTCTTGTTATTTACAGGTATGTCTTGTTATTTAGAGGGATGTCTTAATATTTAGAGGAATGTCTTGTTATATAGATGGATGTCTTGTTATTTAGAGGGATGTCTTGAT